CCTGTGCCCGTCGTTGAGGCAAATCATGGTCAGCCTGCCTGGTGGTTTGCTGCCGGATATGGAGGGACGACTCTGTATTATGTAATGAGGACATTCGTGTGTTCTTCGTTCCTGTCGCTCTCCTCACTCTAGTCCCATAGCTTCCTGTTTATGCATATCATAATTCTAACATTATTCAATGAATTTTTATGTACTACAAATCTCACCTGCAAGTAATCTTCCTTGAGTACTTCATACGTGGCTTGACAAGTTGCAGGTATTATGGGAGACAAACTTTGTTTTGATATTCTCGTTCTATACTGAAGTGACGTGTAGATGCACCTCTGCAGATGTACTCTCCCTCATATTGGTATCCTGTTTTTTTATATATGTTTTCACTTTCGCTAGAAGTTTGTAAAAGGTGTTGGGGTCCATTCTCATGTAATTGTTGAAGTCTTGCTCATGTTCATCTTGCAATTCACGTAAAATCGTGGCATGACTTCCCAATACTTTTCTTCTACCTAACCATTCTTTGCACCATTCCTTTTTCTGCATTTGGTTCTTGTTTTTGCACAGAGCAGCAATTATTATAGTACACAACGCTATGCTCTTTGCATTAACTGTCCAGCGATTATTCCTGCAACACACCATGGTGATCGTACCGCACCCACCACTGCCGACCACCTACTAGCGCCAGACTATGACTGCTGCCAACCACCCACGTGTGTACAACAACACACAGGCTTTGCCCGGTAAACGGGAAAAGCCCTCCGGGCACTGCTCAATCGTGTGGACAGGGCTTTACACATCTCTCACCATGCTTAATAATATTAACTATCTTCATGACATTCTTATTGTTATCAGTGATTGCGTAATTCACAATGTTATGCTCCACCTACACACAGCCTGTTACCAGACTAACCCCAACCTCCTCTATCCCCCCCCTCCCCCCACCCCGACACACTACAGTGGGCGACATCTGTTGGCCGACCATAGCATTTCCCCCAGCTGTTTCGAAACTTCAGATTCAAGGCTATTCGAATCCTCACTGTGGTTGGGTAGTGGACACGACTTTGGTGCACGATAGCACATGGTTCAGGATGGTTTACATTTTTCCAGAAGTTTTAGTTTGTAAAAGAATTTCATCTTCAAAGCTAACAGTAATATTACCGGGACTGTCTGAGATTGACTTTAATAGTGCATTCATAAGAAGAAAGTGGTACTAAGTACTCCACCTTAGGGGTTGCCAAGTTACATATCTTTAACTTAACTTTTGTAACCCTGAAACAGTGCAGCAGCCCTTCTGTTGGTTAAGTAACCATTTATCCAGTGTAACAGCCGGCCTGCTGTATTCATTTTGGCGAGTTCGTACAATATACTGTAAGTTGCCTAATGGCAATATCAAATGCAGCTTTCGGGTCAATAAATGTGGTGTATCTGCCTCTCATCCCTATGCTCAGTTAGAATTTGGGATGCAACTATGTTCACTTTTGTCGAGGGTTTAGATGTTAACGCCCTCTGGTTCTTTTAAAGATTACTGTCAGGTGGAACACTTTTGCTTTCACCAAAGATACTGAACAAGATTGAGGATATTTGTAACAAAAGATGTCTATTTACAAGTATTTACACTGATAATCGGCACGAAGACAGTACAGAATGTTTAAAGTAGTAGAGTGGTTACCTACGTGTGTGTTGGTATACATACTCGATTTGACTGTTGAGTTTAATGTTAGCTTTTCTAAATGTTTTTGATTGTAAAGTGTACTGATAGAAGATATTGTATCTGATGTTGCTGCTATATTATGTTATTATTTCTGGGGTTGTTGTATGATGCTCTATGTAATGTAATGTATTAAGACAAATGTGTTAAAAATAGTTGTGACTTGTGTAGAGGACGAACCAAATGAAGTTCCACACTAAATAGTGGTAGGTTTGGGACCCTCAGTCGGGCTGCCGGTGGGAGAATGAAACACGGTCCGGAGACTCCGGACTTCCAGGAAGGCAGACATACATTTGTTGAGTTTGGGGACCACTTACTCAGGTTTTGTATATCAGTACTGCTCTAGTGATTATATTAGGTGACCATTGGTTGTGTAATTGTGTTAAATATGTGTATTGAGAGTTTAAGGATTAGAGTGCTGTCACTAGTTTTGTTTCAAGGCATGAACCAGGAACTTTGAATGTTCGATGTCCAGATTATGATTGTTACCGCAAGTGGTACATAATTATGATGACATATAAACAAATGTTATGTTAGGCTGTAACTCATGTCATGTTTATTACAATGTAGAGTGTTGAGATGGTTGAAGATGAGAGGCCCAGAAGGACGTTGGAGGGTGTGAAGGGAGTTTGTTTATGTATAATTATAATCACCTGACTCAGCCATAGCTGACCAGCCAAGGGGCCAGGCTATAGGGTGGGCATTTTCAGTATAGCTACCCATATCTTAGAGTCAACACCTACCCTGGCTTCTCTCTAGACTTTCAACACGTAAGTTTAACTAGTACTTATTGTGTACACAGGTAGACTGTGTCATTGTTTTTGTGTTAAGATTAGACTAATTACATAGCCATGATTGTTATGTAAATATATATTAGATTAAACATTTATGTAAGAGTGCCTATGTATGACTTATTTGAAATACTAAATGAATTGCATTCAACAGGTTTGACCGAATTATAATGTTCGTGTATGACGTGAGAAGTATTATTCACCCTCTAACCGTCTGATTGGCGGTTACAGTCAAACGTGAATGTCTACTGTGTAGCAGTGATACCTTGAACCAACGGGCGGGCAGCAGTAACCAAGGTCAACTCAACTCAACCCACTGGAGGGATGCGCGTGAGTGTGTGCGTGCGCGCGCGCGTGTTCCCAGTGCCACGGATTACAGTGCAACGCCCGTAGATTTATAGTGGCGATAATACTTGAACCTTTTGTTATTGAAGAAAATAATGTTGTCAGAGTGAGCTCAGCCACTCTTAGTGTAGCTTGGCACACCAACACTCGTCACTCGAGGGACGAGTGTGTGCGTGTGGGTGTGGATGTGTGTGTATCCAGTGGCGAGTAAGTGCAGTGCAACGTCCGTGTACTTCTGGCATCGATAATAGTTAAACCTTGTTAGTCCAGAAAATAGTCTTGTCTGGGTGATCTTCATCACTCCCAGTGTAGTGCATATGAGAATGAAAACACTATGTCATTATTGTTGTCTGACGTAAGTGCAGAACACAATTAGCAGTCATAATTGACTGAAGTGATATTGTTTTATAAATAACCCAAATATCAACGTAAAGTCTGTAATGACTATCAGTGAAGCGAAAGGCAATGGAGGAGAAACAAGCTCTGGAAAAGGCTCGTGCCCAGTGTGTTCCAGAGCACATGGATTAGCAGGGTGCGACGAATTCTGGAGCATGTCAGTGAGGGAGAGGTTAGAGAGGGTAAAAAGATTACGTTGCTGTTTCTTGTGTCTGAGAGTGGGCCACCTTGTTGCTGAGTGTTGGTCACGCTTCAGGTGTGGCACTGATGGGTGCAAAGAGAAGCATTCTAGACTGTTGCATCAAGAACGAAGGGAGGCACTTACTGCAAGTATGTCAAACACACGCAAGGGTGGCGTAAAGCGAAATTTTCAAGGTCTCGTGAAACAGGAGTCAGTGGCAGGCACCTCTGATGGTGGCTTGGCCCAAAAGCCAACGACAGTTCGTACATGGCCGGAAAAATAGGCCATGTCTATGCTACAGGGACAAAAGACGCCCATGAAAACCCATACAGCTGTGAAAGCGACATCTGACTATCGACGAAAAATGCCAAGATTGTACTGCCCATAGTGAGTGTGAAGATTCGGGGAAAGGACTCACACCAACGAAATCACATCAGAACTTTAGCTCTCTTGGACTCAGGCAGCGACAGGTCGTATTGCACCAAAGATCTGGCACAGAAACTAAGGGTGAAAGGGACACCTACCCTGATAACCATGGGTACACTTGCCCAAGAGATGATACTCGAGTCTGCGGAGGTAGATCTAGAAGTGGTTAGCGCAGGCATGAAACGAGGCAGAACCATGCTTATCCCGAAAGTACTCATTATACAAAATTTCCCCACAACACTGCACAACTCCGTAGCGAACACAAGTGATATCTCAAGGTGGACCCATCTGCGAGGTGTGGAATTACCAGAATTGCAGAGCAACAGCATAGAAATTCTGATAGGACAAGATGTGCCACAGGCCCTGGTACCCTTGGAGGTCAGGGCAGGAAGGGATGGAATGCCATTCGCCATAAAAACGCGACTGGGTTGGACAGTAAATGGACCAGTGGGGCACCAAGACGCACAAGGAGTTTGCATGTCAGGATGCCTGTTGACCGAAACTGTCGTGAGTCCTGAAACCCGTCTGGAAAGACAAGTTAAGCTTTTTTGGGAGCTGGAAAGTGGGGACACAGGAGCCTTGCAGTCAGCAGCTCATTCACTTGAGGACAAAAGAGTGTTGAGGCTATGGTCAGAGACAGGCATCAAAACTAATGGGCATTACTAATTTCCCATACCGTTCCGTAATGAGAACACGGAACTCCCAAACAACAAGGCCGTGGCGGAGCGTCGACTAGATGGGCTTCGAAGGAGACTATCCAAGGACGCTGCGACAAGGATACGTAGAGGAAATAAATAAACTGCTTGCTGAAGGATATGCTGAATCAGTGCTTAAGTGCCAGTTGGATTCAGATACCGGACTGGCTCTGGTATCTGCCTCATCACCCGGTGTTGAACCCAAATAAGCCAAACAAAGTACGCATAGTTTTTGACTGTGCAGCCAAACACAAAAGGACATCGCTGAACGACCAGGTACTACAAGGTCCAGACTTCAACAACAAATTACTTGGAGTCCTTTTAGGTTTCGCCAAGGAACTACAGCCATCATGGCAGAAGTGGAGGCTATGTACCATCAAATCCATGTAGCGCCAGAACATCGAGATGCGTTAAGATTCATCTGGTAAGAGAATGGGGACCTGAGTAGAGATCGAGTAACCTACAAGATGAAGGTGCACATCTTTGGTAGGGTGTGGAGCCCTTCATGTGCAACTTACGCTCTCCGGCGCACATTCCAAGACCCCAGATCCGAGTTTCCCGACATGGTGGAGCAAGCGGAAGTCAACTTCTACGTTGACGACCTGCTCATGTCGCTGGACTCATCAAATGAAGCATCAATGTTAGCGTGTCAGCTTCGAAGACTGTTGGCGTGTGGAGGATTTCGGTTAACTAAGTGGGCCAGTAATCACAAAGGAGTGTTGGCTACCATCCCACCGGAGGAAAGGCAAAATGCACTGAAGGAAATTGATCTGAGGCAAGACAAATTGCCAATGGAGCGAGCCCTGGGGGTTAGGTGGCTCCTGGAAGGTGATCAGCTCGCCATCAAGGTGCAACCAAATTCAAGGCCAGCTACCAGGAGAGGAGTACTAAGCCTGGTCAGTTCTATTTATGACCCATTGCGATTCGTGGCCCCATTCATCATCAGGGCAAAAATATTATTTTAGTGCGAATGCAGGCGTCGATTAGGGTGGGACGAACCTTTGTCGGCTGTTAATCACACGACCTGGAGCACCTGGCTAGGAGAACTGGCCCACCTAGGGAAATTAAGGGTACCCAGATGCCTAAAAAACAGCATGTGCTAAAGAAATCATCTCAACACAGTTGCACACCTTCTGCGATGCATCGCAGGCTGCTTACGGTGCGGTGACCTACCTGAGAATGGTAGACTCTGGCGGAAGTATCCAGTGCTCTTTCGTGTACGGACGGGCCAAGCTGGCCCCACTCAAGCAACTGACAATACCAAGGCTGGAACTTTGTGCAGCTGTCCTGGCAGTGAACGCTGATCGAACGATTCGCCGAGAAATGACCATGACCATACGCGAATCTTATTTTTGGACGGATAGCATGCTAGTCTTGCAGTACATCGCCAATTCGAGCAGACGATTTCAAACGTTTGTAGCCAACAGGAAAGCAGTCATACAAAAGCTGTCAAGAACTGACCAGTGGAGACATTTCGGCACATCGCTGAACCCAGCAGATGATGCAACTAGGGGATTACCTGTCCTGGACCTGGTTGCAGGATCTCGGTGGATACGAGGTACTGACTTTCTACTCAGTGTTGAAGAACGGTGGCCAAAGGGAAAGGAACTGCCAGCAGTTCTGAACGACTTACTGGAGGTGAAACGAGAAGTACACCAGAGATCTGTAGTTGCTCTGGCAGTGGGCGAGCAGTCAAAGTGGTCCCTCGCCAAACTATGGCTCAGGTACTCATCATGGTACCGCTTGGTGAAAGGGGTGGCATGGATTAAAAGGTTCATTTGGTGGCTTGGGTCCAGTACAAGGACCGCAGGCCTGCGCCTCAAACTGAAGAGACTAAGCACTGAGGAACTACAGTCGACTGAGCAGACAATTATAAAATTGGTGTAGAAAGAGGCTTATGAGAAAGAAATCCAAACTGTCATAAAGGGTGAGCTGCCGAAGGACAATAAGCTATATAAACTGGAACCTTACTTGGACGAGCGAACGTTGCTCAGATCAAAGGGAAGAATTAAAGGAACCCTTCTTGGGCGAAGTGGTGAGGAGCCAATCTTGCTGCCTAGAGACCACCACATCAAGGAAATCATAGTGCGGGAGATGCACGAAGAGAGAGCCGGACATGCCGGACGAGAACACACGATGGCGTGTGTGAGGCAAAGGTATTGGATTCCCCAGGGCAGACGCTTGCTTGATAGAATCATACGACGCTGTGTAGTGCGCCGACGGAACAACTGGAGAAGTCGGCATCAAAGGCAAGCTGACTTACCAATTGATCGTGTTACTCCTGGAAAGGCTCCATTTGCTTACACTGGAACGGACTGTTTTGGTCCATTCATTATCAAGGTAGGGAGGAAACAGGCTGAGCGCTGGGGATGTCTGTTTACATGTCTAACTATTAGGGCTGTTCATCTAGAAGTCTTGGCCTCATTAGACGCAGATGCCTTCCTCAACGCAATAACAAGATTCTCACGACGCAGAGATACACCAGATCGTATTAGGTCGGAAAATGGGACAAACATGGTACGGGCAGCCAAAGAGCTCAAACTGGCAGTGAAAAGTTGGGAGCAAGATGACAGACTCAGAGGTGCCTTACTAATAGCAGATATTGGCTGGGTCTTCAATCCACCAGCTGCCCCATACACGGGGGGAGTATGGGAAAGGCAGATTCGCACAGTAAAGAAGGTTTTGCAGGCGATTGTGGGCTCACAAGTTTTAGACGATGAACGTCTGCAAACACTGTTCTGTGAAGTGGAAGCCATAGTTAACGAGAGGCCAATCACCCCGGTTCCAAACACTCCAAATGAACCAAAGGCTCTCACTCCTGCTGATCTTTTGCACTTAGGTCAAAAGGGTAATCTTCCCTTAGGTGGAAGGTCAATAGGCGAATCATACCACAGAAGGTGGAAGAATGTCCAGTACCTTGCAGATCAATTTTGGAAGCGCTGGCTGACGGAGTACCTCCCTCAACTCAGAACTCGACAAGTGCATTTCAGACCACGGCGCAACTTTCGCCCTGGTGACCTAATCATTATAGCAGAAGCAAATATTCCACTCAACAAATGGCACCTTGGTCGAGAGATGGAAGTCAAGGCTGGCGAGGATAGACTTGTCCGACAGGCAGTGGTTAAGACGACGACGTCCACAATGTTGCGACCTGTGACAAAATTATGCTTGTTGGAGGTAGCAATGGAAAGGGTTGATGGAGTCTGCCAGGAGAATGAATTGGGTATCCACACATGAAGATGGTGATGTCCGAACGTCAAAGGACCGAGATGTCCTAAGGAACTGATAAGTACCACAAGCCTGAGGGCAGCTTAGTCACAAGACTGTTATAATGAGACAAATCTCACAAGAAGAAGATTACATATATACAGGTAGAATATTTAGTAAGAGAGTAAAAGAGAGGAAGACTTTGGTAGCGTGGCCGTGTTAGTTATTTGAACTAGACTTACACTTATCTTATCTTATATGTCAATACACATCTATTACGTTCTTAAGGACGACTTCTCAAACACCGCTTCGTTACAACTGTTTATTAATTACGACAATGACATGGACACATTAATAACACCTTCTATTGAAGTTACTAGGACATTATATTTACGTTACTAGGACATCATATTACGTTACTAGACACTGATTCTCGGACAAGAACATGAAATGAATACACTTCCCACGTAAGTAACTCATCCCATGGAAAGCTCTGACAAAAACTCACGTGACCTAGGGGAGGCCTAGCAGGGAGACTGCTTAGCTGGAACACTGGTGTCGGGAGGGCGACTGCTTAGCTGGGACACCGGAGGGAAGTCGGGGAGGGAAGTCTTGCGTGACTCTCCTCCCGTGAGCGGGACTGGGCTGTGGTGACCTCCTCCTCCGATCCCTGTGTGTCTCTCTCTCTGACTCCCTCTCGCCGCTCCCCTGTGGGAGGGCTACGAGCAGGACTGGGGACGTGGTAGCTGGCCCTTCCTGGTTACAAGACACACTCTCTCTCTCTCTCTCCTGGAGAGGGAGGACGACGTCCTATATATTGGGAGACGTCAGGTTGAGCTGATCGGGGGGGCGGCGAAGGGTCTCCTTACATTTGCCCTCGCTAATGTAGGGTCAGGTCTGGACTTTTTCAGAGACTTCAAGTTGTTGTAAATTCTGGAGAAATCTTCAGATGAATGCTTGTCTGTTAACATCGTTGGTGGGGCCGTGTGACATGAGAGGCCCTGGTTGATTTGTGGCCCCTTGACTTGGGCTGCGAGGGTTACATTTGACCTGGCTAATGTGAGGTTAGGTCTAGGCCTTGTCTGAGATGTACTGTAGGTTCTTGTGTAATTTGGGGGAGGACCGGCAGGTGACTCCTTCTGACTGTGTGTCTTACATATTTGTTGGGGCCGTGTGACATGTGGAGGGGAGCCTGGGTGATTTGTAACACCCTTGAGCAGCCGCGAAGGATACCCTTACACTTGACCCCCCTAATGTCGGGTCAAGTCTGGACTGTTTCTGAGATGTAAGCTGTGGTCTGACAACCCATCACTACACTGTGACTAAGTTAAATACCACCAGCCTGAGGGCAGCATAGTCACGAGAACGTGACAAAATTAAAGTTAAATACCACCAGCCTGAGGGCAGCTTAGTCACGAGAACGTGACAAAGTTAAATACCACCAGCCTGAGGGCAGCATAGTCACGAGAACGTGACAAAATTAAAGTTAAATACCACCAGCCTGAGGTCAGTTTAGTCACAAGAATGTGACAAAGCTAAATACCACCAGCCTGAGGGCAGCTTAGTCACGAGAACGTGACAAAGTTAAGTACCACCAGCCTGAGGGCAGCTTAGTCACAAGAATGTGATAAAGTTAAATACCACCAGCCTGAGGGCAGCTTAGTCACAAGGACGTGACAAAGTTAAATACCACCAGCCTGAGTGCAGCTTAGTCACAAGGACGTGACAAAGTTAAATACCACTAGCCTGAGGGCAGCATAGTCGCATGAACGTGACAAACTTAAGTATCAAAGGCCTGATCTGGTTTTGAGCATGAACGCTCAACGGAATGGGTGTTACCGCAAGCGGTACATAATTATGATGACATATAAACAAATGTTATGTTAGGCTGTAACTCATGTCATGTTTATTACAATGTAGAGTGTTGAGATGGTTGAAGATGAGAGGCCCAGAAGGAGGTTTGTTTATATATAATTATAATCACCTGACTCAGCCATAGCTGACCAGCCAAGGGGCCAGGCTATAGGGTGGGCATTTCAGTATAGCTACCCATATCTTAGAGTCAACACCTACCCTGGCTTCTCTCTAGACTTTCAACACGTAAGTTTAACTAGTACTTATTGTGTACACAGGTAGACTGTGTCATTGTTTTTGTGTTAAGATTAGACTAATTACATAGCCATGATTGTTATGTAAATATATATTAGATTTAACATTTATGTAAGAGTGCCTATGTATGACTTATTTGAAATACTAAATGAAGTATTATTCACCCTCTAACCGTCTGATTGGCGGTTACAATGATGTACAGTACTGTATACGAGTTTAGTTTATGTTAATTGATCATTTGTCATGCACAGTGTCACATTGATATTATGATTCACAGTAAATTACATTAATTCATTGTGTAATGTAAAGTCTTGAAATGACAACCCTAACCCTCCTGAAGTAGTCGACGATTCTGCTCCATTCGTTGTTTGTTACCGATACTCCCAAAACTTAAAAGTACTTATATATTAAGTTAACCAATCCCCTGTTCATATTCCATATTCTAATATACCTTTTAGCCACTAAACTATTAAAATGTTATATGATTTCACAAGGTCCTAAACCAAAGCAGCACTTAATTAATGAAGGCTTTATCGAATTTCAACTGAACCCAAAGGTATTTTAGTAGCTCTGTGTGCCATTTGGCCCTCCTGTGCAACATTGCAATACATGGCATAAAAAGAGTACATTAACATATGTGGTATGGAAGTGCCAGACTGCCAGTCGGAACAACTGTCGGGAGTGTAGACACGAAGTGAAGAGTGGAGTCTTGTAAATCAACACGGCACAGGTGGTGAATCCTCCAAACCGACACAGACACTTGATAATGGACCCTGGAGGAGCGTCACAGAGGCTAGGGTTGACAGTGTCCTAGCTGGCCTGCTGACATACAAGGCTAGGAGTGCAGCAGTTCACACCAACGTGACTATGAATAAAAAGCTGCAACAATACAGTACATTTAGAATATTGTCTAATTATTTTAGTAACGACTATGAACATGCTATTATATTTGCACAATTCATACACGCTAAGTTGTACATACATAGTAATTAACAAACGTTGCATAAGGCACCCTTAAATAGCAAATAACACCATAGGAACCATAAACAAATAACGATAATAAAGAATATGGAATACTCACAAGCAGCTGGCGACCAACTGTGTCAGAGGAAGGAAGCCAAATGGCCTTTCATAAGGTTACACCCCGCACTATGACTCGGTTCGAACTACCCATGAGCAACACCTCCTTCAGATAAAGAGAACAAACCCAACACTAAATAACACAGTTCCAACAATCATTGGACTGAAATACAATCCCCTTACAGATATGTGTCCCCTGATTCTGTTTTAGAGTTAACCAAGAATCATCCTCTTAAAGGGTTTGCAAAAGTAGCTAGTTAGTGAGACGGGGCGATGGTATTGGTACAACAAAATTGTTGGTCCATGATGTGGGTAGTTGGCCTTCAGCATGAATCATATTGTACAATCCCAATAATAAATTGTCCGACACACGCCTTAGTAGTCTAACGATATTGTTGGTGATTCCGTCCTCACAAGGGGCACTGGGTCTACCCTCGGCGAGGACTGCGTCAAGCTCCCACTCAGTACATGGAACATCATACTCATCCCTGCATAAAGTTAATGAGATAACTTCTCTCTACTGACTTCGCATCAAGGAGTTCACGAGTCCTAGTTAGTAACATGTTACAGCTAGAGACATGATCCCACGTTGTTATTAGCTCATTCGCTTTTCGCAGCTGGTTTGGAATGGATATGTGCTTTCTGTTTTTACCTCTGATTGTGCTCATGTCCCCTTAGACTTTGCTGAGGGGAGTGTCTTAGTTAAGGCTATTGACATATTGATGGTGATGTGGTTGGCGGTGGCCCCAATGTTGGAGACTGCTGTATATTCTGGAGGGCACTGTAGCCAGAAGCCGAGATATTCCGCCCTGATCCCAACGGCAGAGTCGTTGACATATTTCCAACGTGCGAGAGTATTTTTCAGGGCATCGTTGATGAGGATGAAGAAGCAGAGCCTTGGGAGATACTACATGTGAGTGACTGAAAAGTGGAGAAAACACCTCGGAAGCACAGCCTGGTGTCTGACCCATGGTATGTGTGTGTGTCTTATAATAATTCATAATAATAAAAAAAAATTAACGGTTTATTGAAAGAGCATGGCAGCCGGAAGGCTGAAAATATACAGTTACAAAATTGGGGAATGGGTCACTTGTTTGACAAATAATATACAAGTAACACATGTGATACAAATATGATATATAATAACTAGGTGGGGAGAAGGTTATACTACAGGGCATTTCAACACAGTGACAGCGCAAAAAGGTAAGATTGACTGGGAGTAAATACAATGGTTGATTACGAGATGTTAATAATTTTTACAATGGTTGGGACTGGGCTGTTCTTATAGCGATCAGTACGTGCTCATATGGGCTGGATACGGTTGTGGTGTGTGTTTGTGTGTGAGAGAGAAAGAGAGAGAGAGAAAGAGAGCAAATAATATTTAAAGTCGTCAACGGCAATTAGGACAAACTAATTATTCAAGAAAAAAGTGACCATTCCATTAAAGTGTTAAAAAACAAAACAAAAGCAAGTAACGTTGCGATGTTTAATATTTAAAGATTATTATGTATGTAATATAAGGTTTTGCTGTAGTCCCAAAAAGTTAATAGTTCTCGCTGGTTTATTCTATGTAAATTATAATTAAAAAACACCATTTCTAAGCGCATTATTTAGTAATGGTTCATAGATAATTACTTAATTAATTACTTGAACTTTCAGCAAACACTAAGGAAGGTCTGGCTCATAAATGAGGCTCTAAGTTTCCTATTATCTCTACAACTATTCTGAGAAAGTGTGAATGTGATATTTTCTCAGATACAGAAACACTGACTCACTCTCATCCCTAATGTCCCTCAGTACCTTCTAATCCGACTGTTGTCTAGTAGTAAATAATGAAACTCCCTTATGAAGGAGGAAATCAAAATTAAGCCATTATATGTATTTTCTTACAAAGGAAAACGAAAACATGACAAAACACATGATTGTATGCCCACCTCTGCAACAAAAGTCTTCAGACAGTGATAAGCAAATAATTAGAACAAAACAGATGGTTGTGCGTCAGAAGAATCACACATATGACAACAAACACCATGAGCAGGCACCCAGGATGAGTATTGACCTCAAATGCAAGTGTGTACTGTGACATGTAAAGATTTGAGCTATAAATTTTATACTACCCAGAAATTGAAGAACTCATTGATAAAGACCATGAAACTCTTTCCAGCATGTCTGCATACCTCATTAATAATGTCCAACTTAGAACTCGGGGAAAATATTCTTGTTTTGTTTATATCAGATAACGTGAATATTGTTTAATTATTGCATATTTAGTTGTCACTGAGGCGTATTTGTTAATCCTTTGCGCTACCGTCCACACAATGGACATGGGATTCACGATGAACTAGCTGTTCTGCTTGTGCAAAGGTATACATACTGTATAGACATTTGGTACAATGTATTAGAATGCTTGGCTGAGACACCCGAGAAGGTGTCTAATTCAGATCCACGTAGATGTGCATTCATATGTATATATCTGAGTTACAGTGATTTACTAGTATAGACTCGGTTCTCTGATTTAAATATTTATCACAAACAACCATTATATTAGTATTGTGCGACTGTAACAATGTGATGAATTTTTTCTTTACCGTCTGGGCATAGTCCTCTCACCGACGAACATCAACAATATATAAAATATTTGTTTAACTTTCGGATGTTTATGACAAGTCATTTTCACCTAAAAGGTAGATGGTCGGTAACTGCCAACAACCACAACTTGACATTCGAGAGGCAGTGAACTTTGTAGTAGAATCACGCTATTAGATTGATATCTGGTATGGTGTAATACGTTTTATGTAAAAACAAACTCCTTTCCTTTATGTGTTCGTATAAGAGTTACTACATATTGGTATTATCGGGTCTATATTTCTGTGTCTGGCTGTGTAGGTCCAGCGACCATTAGCCCTCTCAGCCTTTGAGCCTGAATCACAAACGTGCATGAAAACTTACGCTCAGCCTCGGAGGTCTTTGCCGAAAAATCGTTGAAAAAACAATTAGGACTCATTTCACTGACATGGAATTGTTTTTATTAATTGTAATGGGGGGTCTCTTCTAGCTTAAAATTGTCTGGAAATTTGTATGAAACCATAAAAACATGAAAATTCTTGAAATTTAAGCCACATTAATCGAGTATAAGTTGAAAAGGAAGGAAAATCTTTTGTAACCCTTCGATTTCCATTCACATTTTCCTTGTATTATGGTGTTCATGTAAAATGTAGAATATTGTGGTATAAGGAAAAATACTATAACTAAAGAACTCATGGAATAATTAAAGGGCCCAGCGGCGCATCCTCCTCTCGTTCTCATGCCCAGAGTAATTCTGGCTTCATGCTGAGTTTGCCCTGCACACGATGACCATAACCATCTCGGGGAAGGTGATAAGGCCCACAAAAA